TGTAAATTGGTATATCCTCCTGGAAAACAATATGGAGTTTTCTTAAAAATTTAAAATAGAATTACCATATGATCCAGAAATCCCACTTCTTTTCTTTTTGAATTTTATTTAATTTATTTTTTATACAGCAGGTTCTTATTAGTTATCAATTTTATACCTATTAGTATATATATGTCAATCCCATTCCCCCAATTCATCACATCACCACCACCACCACCACTTTCTCCCCTTGGGGTCCATACGTTTGTTCTTTATATCTGTGTCTCAATTTCTGCCCTGCAAACCAGTTCATCTGTACCATTTTTCCAGGTTCTACATATATGTGTTAATATATGATATTTGTTTTTCTCTTTCTGACTTACTTCACTCTGTATGACAGTTTCTAGATTCATCTACGTCTCTACAAATGACCCAATTTCATTCCATTTTATCGTTGAGTAATATTCCATCATATATATGTACCACATCTTCTTTATCCATTTGTCTGTCGATGGGCATTTAGGTTGCTTCCATGACCTGGCTATTGTAAATAGTGCTGCAATGAACATTGGGCTGCATATGTCTTTTTGAAATATATATTTTTTCTGGGTATATGCCCAGTAGTGGGATTGCTGGGTCATATGGTAATCCTATTTTTAGTTTTTTAAGGAACCTCCATACTGTTCTCCATACTGGCTGTATCAATTTACATTCCCACCAACAGTGCAAGAGCATTCACTTTTCTCCACACCCTCTCCAGAATTTGTTGTTTGTAAATTTTCTGATGATGCCCATTCTAACTGGTGTGAGGTGATACATCACTGTAGTTTTGATTTGCATTTTTCTGATAATTAGTGACATTGAGCAGCTTTTCATGTGCTTCTTGGTCATCTGTATGTCCTCTTTGGAGAAATGTCTATTTAGGTCTTCTGCCCATTGTTTGATTAGTTTTTTTTTTAATATTGAGCTGCATGAACGGTTTATATATGTTGGAGATTAATCCTTTGTCCGTTGATTCATTAGCAAATATTTTTTCCCGTTCTGAGGGTTGTCTTTTCATCTCGTTTGTGGTTTCTTTTGCTTTGCAAAAGTTTTAAGTTTCATTAGGTCCCATTTGTTTATTTTTGTTTTTATTTCCTTTATTCTAGGAGGTGGATCAAAAAACATCTTGCTGTAATTTATGTCAAAGAGTGTTCTTCCTATGTTTTCCTCTAAGAGTTTTTTGGTGTCTGGTCTTACATTTAGGTCTTTAATCCATTTTGAGTTCATTTTTGTATATGGTGTTAGGGAGTGTTCTAATTTCATTCTTTTACATGTAGCCGTCCAGTTTTCCCAGCACCACTTATTGAAGAGGCTCTCTTTTCTCCATTGTATATCCTTGTCTCCTTTGTAATAGATTAGTTGACTATAGGTGTGTGGGTTTGTCTCTGGCTTTCTATCCTGTTCCATTGATCTATATTTCTGTTTTTTTCCCAGTACCATATTGTCTTGATTACTGTAGCTTTGTAGTATAGTCTGAATCAGGAACTCTCATTCCTCCAGCTCCATTTTTTTCCCTCAAGACTGCTTTGGCTATTCGGGGTCTTTTGTGTCTCCATACAAATTTTAAGATTTTTTTTTGTTCTAGTTCTCTAAAAAATGCCATTGGTAATTTGATAGGGATTGCATTGAATCTGTAGAAGCAATCCCATTTCTGAAAGAGGTGAATTCACTCTCTTGAACAGGTATGTGTTTTTCCATATTCAATTCAGCATTATTCACAATAACCAAGACATAGAAACAACCTAAGTTTCCTTCGACAGATGAATGGATAATAAAAATGTTATATATATATATATATATATATATATATATATATATATATACACACACACACACACACACATATATATATATAGTTGAATATTATTCAGCTATCAACAAGAAGGAAATCCTGCCATTTTCAGTAACATGGATGGACCTTTTAGCCATATTGTTAAGTGAAATAAGTCAAAGACACATATTCTATATTCTTACTTTTATGTGAAATCTAAAAACATCAAACACATAGAAACAGAGAGTAGAATTGTGTTTGCCAAGGCCTGAGTCATGGGCAAAATACAGTGATGTTGGTCTAAGATTATAAACTTTCAGTTATAAGATGAACAGATTCTGGGGACCTAATAAATAGCATGGTGAGTATAGTTAACAATACTGTATTGTACACTTGAGAGTTGCTATGAGAGTAGAACTTTAATATTCTCACTATAACAACAACAAAATGGTAATTATGTTAGGTGAACGACATGTTAAGTAACCTTATTGTGGTAAAAAATTCACAATATATGTGTAACAAACCGCCACATTGTATACCTTAAACTTACACAATATTATTTGTCAATTTTATCTGAATATAGCTGGGTTAAGGGAAAAGAAAATATAATTTGAAGAAAATGTTGAGGGAAAATATCCCATCTACAAATAAGATGATAGCAACAGATCCAGATAGTCAGCATGAGGAGCCAAACCTTCAGGTCAGTTCTCATTTCACCCCTCACCTCTTGAAAAGTGCAAAAAGCCTGTGTTCTGGGTCTCTCATTCTTAGCTATTCTGGCTTCTTATGATCCCTTGTCCAAGATGCAATAGTTACTTGCTGTGGTTTCACCAGGATATGCACCTTAACTCTTGCTGACCTACTCATTCTTCTAAAAATGTACCTGGTCCCATTCTCTTCTATCCCCACTCACTCTCTGCCCAGTGACTGTAGCTAATCTGATAAATGAATCAGGGTAATGCAATTGTAGGTGTTCAAATATGAATATACATATTAACTGTCCCAAGTAACTCCTGTGTATTTTTTTTAACATATTTCAGAAGAGAAGTGCCTTTGGGTTCACTGTTCCTTTAACCATATTCTCTGACAGCCCTACAAGATGCTTCCCTCCTGAATTCTTACAGATTTATTTTAAACCCTCAAGCCGAGGTTCTTCATTTCTCTTAACACAAAGGCACAGTAATCTGGTTGGTCTGGATCCTTCCAAAACAATATTGTTTGAAGATCTTTCCATACAGGTTAATATGGATCTACCCCATTCCCATTGACTGCTGCATTATGTTCCACAGTATAACTTATACCATAGTTTATTGTCATTCCCCTTTTGATAGATGTTTAGGTTATTTATATTTTTTCATGATTATAATCAATGCTGAAATAAACGTCTTTATTGTATATGCACCAACCTCTCTGTAGACACTCAAAAGTGAAATTTCAGGGACATAGAGTATTTGGTCTTTTTGGTAACAATAAACAAAGAAAAAGTTCCCTCCAGTATGACTACCATTTTTTATCTTCAGCCAGTAGTGTATAATAATTACCCATTTCCATATATTTTGCCAACACTTGTTCTTATGAAACTTGTAAATATTTTCCAGTCAAATGAGTGGAAAATTGTTCTCATTTTACTTTTTATTATTTATTTTTAAATTTTTATTGGAGTATAGTTTATTTAAAATATTGCATTAGTTTCTGCTGTACAGCTAAGTGAATCAGTTATACATATACATACATACACCCTTTCTAAGATTATTTTCCCATATAGGTCATTACAGAGTATTGAGAAGAGTTCCCTGTGCTATACAGTAGGTCCTTATTAGTTATCTATTTTATATATAGTAGTGTGTATATATGTCAATCCCAATATCCCAATTTATCCCTCCTCCCTTTTCCCCTCTGGTAACAATGTTTGTTTTCTACATATGTGACTCTATTTCTGTTTATAAATAAGTTCATTTGTCCTATTTTTTTTTAGATTCCACATGTAAGCAATATCATATTTGTTTTTCTCTGTCTAACTTACTTCACTCAGTATGACAATCTCTAGGTCCATTCATATTGCTGCAAATGACATTATTTTGTTATTTTTAAATTGAATTTCCGTGATTAGTAGTGAGGTCAAACATCTTTTTATAGGTTTATTGCCTATATAAAATCCATCTGTGAATTGTTAATTTTTTATTCATGTTGCATTTTTAAATTATTTGTATGATTTTTATATGTACTAGACATAAATCTTGTGTTATATGTGGCTACCTTAACTTTTTATGTTATTTTTACTGTTTAAATGGTTTTAATTTTCAGTAATATGGAACATATATCTATTATGAGACTTAAGAGATTACTGTGTTTTTTTTTTCATGCTGGTATCCCCTCTTAAGGAGTGAATTTCTTGAGAGCAGCTGTGTTTTATTCATGTCCATAGGAACCAGCAAAAAGCCTGGATTATTGGTAGCTTTTCAGTCAATGTATTTGTAGCATCGAGTTGATGATGCTTTTAACCCAAAGGGATGACAGTGACTCTCAGAATAAATAAATGAGTAAAAAGAAATTTTGGGGAAACTTATAAAGCTTGAGATTCCTTGTTTTATATAATTTGTAGTAATAATCCCTTTCTGTCAACTCCAAGAAAAGTTACTCTTCAATCTGTTCTTCTAGATCTTGGTCTAAATCTCTCACAGTATTTCTCCCTTTTACCTTTTTCCCCAGCATGTCTCTGGGAGATGAAGTTTCCCAAAGCAGAATCAGCTTCCCAGATCCCCACCCAGGGGTGGTATTTGTACCGAGGTAGCTTTGAAGTTTAAAGCTGTCCCAATACCCTACTCTCTTGAATTCCTTCTCAGGAAAAAACAAGATGGTGAAGGGAACAGGGATAGACAGGGAAACCTTACCAGCTGAGCCTGTATCATACAGGGTGATTCTCTGTAAGAAATATGCAAAAGGAGCACAGTCTCCATGCAGTCCCATTCAGGGACATGCTGAATAGATTTCCAAGAATGGAGAGGGCCTCATGTACTTAGAGAAATTATTGTGTTTAAGACAGCCCAGCTTCCTTTCTTGCCCCATGCTAGTATAAAGTAGTTTCACCATAACTTTACCCAGTTAAGGGAAGGAAAACGAAAACGATTTACTGGTGCCATGCAATGTTGTGGAAACGTAAATGAAGACAAATTCAAGATAACAGCCATGGATTCTGAAGTTTCAAATATTTTTTTATTAATAAAAAGTACAATAATCAAACGTAACAAGATTGTTTAGTTCCCAAACATACACCCTGCCTGGATGCCACAGAGGAAATGTCCCATTGAACGAGAACGTAGTAATCTATAAGTGACCATGCTAACTGAGGCAGTTTTTGAGTATCTCCAGGGACCTAACAGGCTTGAATATGAGAGATTGCTCACAATCTTAGTCTCACAGCCATGTCACTGGAGCAAGAACTAGTATAAAATAGAGAAAAAACAGGGTGCTGCTCTAAAGTACTGAAATAACAAGGCAGAGACATGAGTTATAAATACTAAAGCTTAATATGCTGTTCTATAACTTCTTTAAACAAACAATGACAAAAAACAATCAATCATTTCACTGCAGGCTCCTTTCCCCAACACAAAAATGAACAGTCAATTTCTGGCACTGTTTTCCCACTGTGTCCTCCTGTCAAAAAACAAGGATGGACACCACTAGGGATTCTCTTCCTCTTTTTATTCAGAAATACAATGAAAATAGCACTGCATACAACATAGTTATAACGTCCAAAACAACTACTTATACTGATCCTGGGAAACATCTACTGGAAAGGAAGGAGAGTTTCTTAATAAACAAAATAGTGTCTCTCCCCCTGTCCCCAACCCACCACCAGAAAAAGAAATGGGAGGTAAAACCAGTATTTGAGAATCAAAGAAATATCCTGCCACTAGTATAAGTTCTATTCTCTTCCGTCCCACTCCCACCCCAACCACCCCACCCCACTTCCCTTCTACCTATACTGTTCAGAATATAATAAGTGTGGAAAGACAAAATGTAACTGGTGATGCTGGACTGGCCAAAGTTTGAAGGGCTGTGGGAGATTGCCTCTGTGCTTCTGACAGGGTGACATGTAATGTGGTCCAGGCAGAGTGAGGAAAGGGGAAGAATACAGCTTTTACAGCAATGGATTTTGCCTACTTATTCCTTTAGACCCTAATATGCTTTGAGTATAAAAACAGATGAGAATCTTATAGTTAGCAATGAAGAGAATGTAGGGAAAGTGAGAGGAAGAGATAATATGGCTTCCAGTGACCACTCTTCAATTATCCTTTTTACTTACTCAAATTTAGCTCTTTATCATCCAGGAAGCCTAATCCTCTCCTTTTTCTAGGGTAAATATAGAGTACTATAATTATCATCATAATGGTAATCATAATACTTTGTTGTTCATTTAAGGATCACTTGTAATTTTTGCCAACATCCATTAATGAGAATCCTCACAACAATCCTGTGAGGTAGGTATTTGGATCCCCATTTTACAGATGGGTTAACTGAGGCACAGAGAGGCGATGTGACTTGCCTAAGATCAATAAAGTGAGAGATGGGAAAATATGGAAGAGAGGTAACTTAGGGTAGCACCTCTATTGTCAGAGAGCCATATTTACCAGTGAGAAAAGACAGTGCTAAGTGTTTCTTTAAATTGGGCACAGCTACTTTCTTCAGTATACCTATTTCTATATAGCTATTAACACACTAGGAGGATCAATAATTTCCCTTGGCTTATTAAAGATTAGATCAATTCCCAATGGTTTTGCTCTTCGGAAAACCTTTTGAGGGTAGGATACACCCCAAGTTCCTGGAACTCAGGTCATCGAAATCTCTAACTCCTGAATTTTGCCGATCACTTTGTTTCAAAGAGCTGTTAGAGTTCTAAAACTGTTACTATCATGTACATAAGCACTGTGTTCTAAGTGTTCCCACAGGTGTACAGGCTAACAATTCAGATACCACTATACAGGTACTCTGGAACTGAACAAGTAAGTAAGTATATGGCAACGTGTGGGAGCCAGGTTTCTCACTGTTGGAGTGGAAGGTTAGAGTGAACAAAGGCAAAAGGCTAGGATAAGATGATCCATGTGGTAAGGGATTGGAGTAGGAGACATCAGTATGAACTCATGTTTAGCTTAATAAAGATATGGATGATTACATACAGAAATATTTGTAGATATGTATGTATAGATATACATGGGTTAGTGCACACACATATATTTCCTTGCTCTGTTAGCTGAGATGACTTAGAAGCAAAAATACAAGTAGCAACAAGCATACCTAATGCCCAGATCTTCATTTCTAATACAATTCTCCATTAAAAGAAACCAGGACTCCTTAAAGAAATGGTTGATTACAGGATTCGGCAAAAAAAATATAGAGGATGAGCTTGCAGCATCTTGTAGTGCTGGAAAATAAAGGTGTGCTAAAAAAAAGATGGGGGTCTGTCAAAAGAACATGGAAATCAACACAAAAGAGTGCCCAACGACCAACGCTGGAACAATTTGAGTAACAAAATAAGTTGCATTGGACTATAACCCAAAGTACTAAATAAATATCCATAAGTCCATACTGATACAAGAAAATGATTGCATAAATAAATAAATGAGGGAGAAAAGACAACTCTACCACACAGAATTCCAAATAATTTATGTAGATACTCACCCTCAGGCATGTAGTGCATAGCTAACCACTCCTTAAGTGTGGGCTGCACATAGTGATTTCCTTCCAAAGGGTTTCCTTCCACCTTATGGAAGTGATTTCCTTCCACCTTATGGAAGGTGGGGTGGAATACAGAGGAGAAACCTGACAAACACTATCTCAGCCAGGTGATCAAGATTAACATCAAGGGTATAAGTCATGTTAATATGATGTGATGAAAATGGCAGTTCACCTCTGTGGTCTTCCTCCCCCAAACCTATAAGCTCAGTTTAATCATGAGAAAAACATCAGACAGATATTAATTGAGGGACCCCTTGAAACTGCCAAGGTCATAGGAAACAAGGAAAGTCTGAGAAATTGTCACAACCAAGAGAAGCCTAAGGATATATGACTACTAAATGTGATGTGGTATCCTGAACAGGATGCTGGAAAAGAAAAAGGATATTAGGTAAAAACTAAGAAAATCTGAATGAAGTTTGGACTTTAATTAATAATAATGTATCATTACTTCATTAATTGTAACAAATGTACATCTAATGAAAGATGTTAGTAATAGGGAAAACTGGGTTTGAGATATAGGGAAACTCTGTACTATCTTCAGAATTTTTCTGTAAATCTAAAACTGTTTTAAAATAAAAACTTTATTTAAAAAGAATTTAAGAATTTATTCTCACAAACCTTTCTGTCTTGCCTATAATGCACTCCACCTAATGTACTCAGCAGTTCATATTCTTCATAGTTTTTCCTGAATTTTCCAATCATAATTATCAATAGTAATGTTCAATTGCCAATCATCTACAAATGGAGGAATTCCACTGCAATAAATTCCAAGATATTATTCAACCCTATCGATGAAGGCCATTTTCCATGCCCTAGGCAACTGTCCACATAATGGTGGTTAGCTGGTGTGAGCACAGCAAATTCAATTAATTCCAAATGCTACCTAAGAGAGACAATTATTTTCCATCTCACTGTCTATTTAGCAAAGTTACATGTGCTTTTGGTGTGGTACAGTATTATACTGTATTCGAGTACCTGTGCTCCATGAAATACTCTTAATGAATGTTGATATATTTCTTAAAGAATATGGAAATAATTTGTAAAGATTTTATCATTATTTGGAGGGAAGAGAGCAATGAAAATAGGGTTAGAATTGTTTCCTGACCATAGACAATTAATAAAGCATTAACAAAGTCCCTCATTACTTTGCAGGAAAAAATTTGAATAAAGACTTAGAGATACCAATATTTGGAATTCTAATTTGATTATCCTAGTTAGTACAACACTATGTTTTATAGTCTTTATTTATAAATAGATCATATGCTCCAATGCAAAAGATCCTGATGGGCACAGGTCAGTTATGAACTCTGGAAAAGGAGTCTAAAATCCAAACTCTGGAGAAAATGGGTAAGCCCTTAGACTCTACTGTGAAATACCATATCAACTACTCAATTATAAGCTTAACTTATGTATGATGGCAATTCACCTTTAACAACATGTCTTACACCTGCATAGAAGTCCCCTTTAACAGATTGGCCCTAGATATTTCCTAGTGCTTTAACAATTAGTCTACAGTGTGGAACTTGCACACTTAAAGTCAGGGTAAAACTTATATCAAAATAACAAGGCTAAAATAGTAAAAATCTACATATCATTTTGAAAAATACAGGTAGTCCTTAAATTTATGAGGGTTTATGGTCTGAAAAGACACTGTAACTTGAAATGAGGTAAAGCAAACCTGAGATATTATAGAAAGTGTTAGAATAGAAAAACTGTGTTCCTAATGTTATATATCAACGACCACAAGCACATTTTACTTACAATTTAGTCAGCTGTAAATGATTTTGTGAGTGGTCTAAATTTTTCTGAAGCCTAACATATAAACTTGGACAAATACTGCAACCAATCATGTAAATTTTTCTTTAATTTGGTTTAATAATGTGATCCCTGGGAGAATGGGTGTGCAGGTCTGTAAGGCCTCAAGGAAACATCTGGGGAAGGAATCTGACCCGTATTTGTCTCATCTGTAAAATATTAATGATGGGTAGGACTAGATAGCTAATAGGATCCCTTCTTGGTGCTAGAATTCTATGATTTAGTCAGACTAGGTGGCCTTGGGAAGTAATGACCTGAAGTATTCAAGAGAGACTTGTTGAATATCTGCCAAGGAAAAGGGGTACCGTATGAAGACAACCTTTTCCAGGAGAGAGGCTGTGTCCACAATTAAGTGATGCAAACCTCCCCTCCCTGACCCCAGGAGAGGAAATATGCCATGTGGAGGTAGATCTGAGGTCCAGGGCCTGGAACAGAGGGTTTTATGTCCCAGAGACTATTATAAAACATTGATTGGGTAAACAAGTGTGTATATTATGCAACATGCTATAATGGTTAAAATAAATGGCTTAGATGTTCATAGCAGTTGCAGAACATCAAATTGCTTTCTGTTTGTCAGTTTTCACTAAATGCCTCTTATAGTTCCATTTGAAACATAGGAATGCATGCTAATAATGCCATGTACTTAACACATTTTTTTTCTTCCAACCCCTCACCTCTGTATAACATGGCCCCAGTGTGTCATTTCTCATCATGCAATATGCACATAACAGTTGCTTTATGTAAACAGAAGAATAAACAGTACAGTGTAGCCCCTCAAGACATTGTCTCAACAGATTGCCATTTGAATGAGACTTGTGATTATAGCACTTTTGATATCCTATCCATAAAAAGTCCTCCTCTATTTGTTTTCAGGATCATCCTGGGTCTACTTGTTCCTGTCACTGCCCAACTTACTCTCCTGGAACACTTTTTACCCTACTGGCACGTCGATGTGTGCTTTGAATTTTTGTTCAAATTTAACAAAACAAAGAATGTAATTGTGCAGCAAAATCTTTAATCCTGAAGGAGGAGGAGGAAGAAGAGGAGGAAAAGGAGAAGAACAAAAAGATCCTTTCATTCCCTTTGATGGACTAAAGAAGCAAGAAGCACCAGCACTGTCTGAAAACCAAACTGTAAGAACAAATAGGATTGGCTTTACAAAACCTTGGAGCTTGGTATGGGACTCAGCTTATTCACTGAGAATGTGCCCTATACTCAGGACCCAAATCCCTGTAAATCTTACCAGCCAACTACAATGTTATGCCCTCTTCTGTCTAGGAACTTGAAAAAAGTCAATTTAGGACACTACCAACCACTTTGATGTACTGATTCAGAAATATGATAAGAATTCTATAAAACAAGAGGAAAATAAGAACAAAAAGCAGCGTATGTTTGTTCACAGCCTTGAATTTGATTCCTGTTTTCTTATTGTAGGAAAAATGTCCTATCTCATAACAGGGACGGGAGGGGGGCAACCATGGGTGCCGCACTGGAATTCAACCCATGCGGAGGTTGAAAAAACTGGGGACTGGTCAGTGGAGAAATGAACGTGGAATATAAAGAGTCCCTATGGAAGATCAGCTATATTTTCCTCCAGTTTCGTCAGCCTGGCTCAGTGAACTGTTCCAATCCCATCCCAGAGGCAAGCTGAGTCAAAGAGGAAAAGATGGTCATGATCCCATTGCGCGCGCGCACACACACACACACACACACACACACACACACACACACACACACACAAGAAAGAGACCAGTGCAGCTCTTTCTAGTGCAGTCTGTGCCGCTCACATGGTGTCATGGCGCCGGCGGTGCAGAGACAGGTGGTCAGAGCGAGAAAAGCTACGATTGCAGTCTGTGCACCGGAAAGGCTTGATGCCTGTGTGCTTGCGGAAATGGCGGGTTAGCTCATCTGAGCGAGCAAATTTCCAGGAGCAGCCATCCCAGGTGCATTTATAAGGCTTCTCTCCTAAAAAAGGGAATATGACAAAACAAAGGGAGTCAGATAAGAGACGTTTGGATCCCGAAAAGATAACAGAGTACATAACCTTTTATAAAGTCAAAAAATTAAGCAATCACTTTAAAGACATGTTCTCTTTCACCTTTACTGAAGTCCCAAAGAGAAGCCACGATGGTTGAATGGAAAACACATAGGCTGTGCCTCAAACAGGCCTTTGCTTGAATCCTGGCTCTAGTACATAGTAGTTGTGTGACCTTAAATAAGTCACTTCTCCCTGGCTGGATCTCTGTTTTTTCATCTCTAAAGAGGGATAAAAATATCTCACAAGGTTGTATGAAACATTTTATCCTTTAAACACAGCCAATAAATGATAAAGCTGGGATCAAAACCCAAATCTTTGACATTTTCCACTATACCACACGGTAGTAACTGTATTTTCTCCTCTAATAGCTCCCCAAAAATAATAGTCTAAAATAGAGCTATACACACAGGAAGAATGTGTGGTTCACTGGAATGGGTCTTCAGTTAAGACTACAAGCCTTTTTCTGTGAAAGATCAGAAACTCAGTGGCATGGAATGGGGTGAGGAGAAGTGTCAAGTCAAACTTTTTGAAATAGTTACATGCTTGCTCAGTACCCCCAGGTTGCACCTGGGTTATATATGGAATATGTATGCTTTGGGTAGAAAACTATATGAAAAAAAAGTAATATAAAAAACATTAACACAGTATAACCCCATAATGGTGTATATGTCACATAACACATATTTATATACTCAGAATAAAGGCAATATCAACACACTTAAATATAAATTATGAGAGAAATTATTAACAGTGAGTGAATATCTGGAAAGTGAGGATGAGAATGAGAAGAGAAGATGAGAATCAGGTGAGAAGAGGATTTTTACTTTTCACCTTCCTGTATTGTTGGAATGTTTTAAAAATCATGTAGCTGTATCTTATAATAAAAATTTAAACGTAAAAAGGTAAGACGGTATGAGCAAAAAATAAATATTAACTATGGTTAAGTTAAGATTATGGGGTTAGGGTAACGATTGTTTTCTTTTTAATGTGCTTCTCTACTTCCCATCTTCTATGATGAGCATGTATAATCTTATAATCATAAATAAGAGATAATGTAGGTATTGGGTTGGCCAAAAAGTTCGTTTGGGTTTTTCTGTAACATCTTATGGAAAAACTTGAATGAACGTTTTAGCCAACCTGTACAAAATGTATTGGTATTTTAATGGTCTTTCTTACTTTGGCTCTTTCTCCTCTTCTCCTTATAAATACTCCAGAGCATTTTATTTTATGTTGTTCTAAATTCTGGTGGCAATCTTGTTTGCATATGCTGTTTTTCAACTTACTGCTCAACACTTATCAATCCTCCTAAGTGCTTACTAATTAACTGTACAGCTTTCAAACAATGGGCAACAGAATGGAATTCACTCTGACTCACAGTTGTGGAAAATACCAAGGCAACTATTTTTAGGATTAAATATGCCAATTACTGATCATTTCAATATACAGAAATTGCTGCATTAGCTGCTAAGAAGAATGAGATAGAGTTGGATGTAGTGAGAACAAAAGACGGCCAATGAAATGTTATAAAATGAAAAGAAAAAGCTACTGAATGGCTATGCACCACACACATACACACACACAGAGTAGGATCCCATTTATGTTCTCTAAACTTCTCTACCTCTGTGTCTCTGTGTCTGTCTCTCTGTTTTTCTCTCTCTCCCTCTCACACACACACACAACCCCCAAACAAAGAGAAAAGATCTGGAAGACTACACAGCAAAATACCAGTGGAAAGGAGAATGAGACTGTAGATGGTGTTTAGTGTGTAAATGGGATTTTTCAGTTTGGTCTATATAATTCCATTCCATCTCCACACCTCCAAACACTGCTATACATTTTGCTGCAATCTCTCAAGAATTTCTCTTACTTCTATCTTCTCTACAATCAAATGAAGAAAATTTGACTTGTAAAGCAGTGACACCCTGTGGTGATAAGAGCTCATTGCTAGAATACACAGATTACACAATTCAGCAAGGAGACCAATTTTTCCTATTGCAAAAGCTGTTACCTTTTATTATCATTGAACAAGCTCCTGTTTGTGCTAATGCACTTCATGTGGTACAACTCAACTCATGACCTTCATCAATACATCATCGATATTGAAGGACAAAACATACATAGGGAAAATAATAATATAAAATGTACATATTAGGGGCTTCCCTGGTGGCACAGTGGTTGAGAGTCCACCTGCCGATGCAGGGGACGCAGGTTCGTGCCCCGGTCCAGGAGGATCCCACATGCCACGGAGCGGCTGGACCCATGAGCCATGGCCGCTGAGCCTGCGCGTCCGGAGCCTGTGCTCCGCAACGGGAGAGGCCACAACAGTGAGAAGCCCGCGTACCGCAAAAAAAAAAAAAATGTACATATTAGCTATGTGACAAAGTATGATATAAGTTCCAAGGCTTAATAATCTGTGCGCTAGTGTGAAGGCATTAAGCTTGAAACATGGGTAGGTTTAGATGGGTAGAACAGTAGGTGAAAAGCAACCCAGTCAGTTGGGGGCATGGGCCGGTAGGAAGTACCATAAATGATGCATGGGGCATGGGATCAGCCATCCTGAATTCTGTAACAATCTTTACAGAATTTCCATGAGATGGTCCCTATTACAAAGGCCAGACTAAAGAATTTGGATTTTAGCATGAAATGTAGTGACATACCAAAGAGGGGGGCAGTGAGAGTAGTCTGCCTCAGATATAGGCAATAAGGGGGATGCATTGACTATAAAGAATTTTAAAACAAAATAAACTAAACGTTTGCTCTTTGTTATCATCATGTTCCAGTTGTAAGTCAATGATAAGATACTCCTTCTGGCTATGACATCTCCCACTGCCCTGTCCCTCTTGGTACACCACTGCCAGAAGGCAGTGGTTGGGGGGGTGGGGGGAGTGTGCAACACTAAACACCTTTTGAACTCGAGAGTGACTTGATCAAATCTGAATGTTGAAATGATCTAGCCATGATATGCAAGATGGATTACAATGAATACAAGGCTACTGGTGTAATCTATTGTCTGGCACATACTGGTACTCAAATCATTTATTGATTTGATGAAGGAATCAATAATAAATATAACAGAAGATTGAAGTAAATAAAATCAGAAATAAGAGAAGAGACATTACAATGGATGCCACAAAAATAAAAAGGATTATAAGGGACAATTATAAACAGTTATATGCCAAAAACTAGACAACTTATAAGAAATGGATAAATTCCTAGAAACATAACCTACAAAAACTGAATTAAAACATAGTAAGCTTGAATAGATCAATAAAAAATAAGGAAATTGAATCAGTAATCAAAAATCTCTAAACAAAGAAAACCCCAGGACCAGAGGTCTTCACAAGTGAATTCTACATCCAAAGAATTTATACTAATTCTCCTTAAATCTTCCAAAAAATGGGAGAGGAAGGAACACTTCCAAACTCATTCCATGAGAACAGCATCACCCTGATATCAAAACCAAACAAAGCAGAAGATAAGAAAACTATAGGCCAATATCCTTGATGAATATACATGCAAAAATCCTCAATAAAATCCTAGCAAACTGAATTCCACTGTACATTAAAAAGACTATAGGGGGCTTCCCTGGTGGCGCAGTGGTTGAGAGTCTGCCTGCCGATGCAGGGGACACAGGTTCGTGCCCCGGTCCGGGAAGATCCCACAGGCCGCGGAGCGGCTGGGCCCATGAGCCATGGCCGCCGAGCCTGCGCGTCCGGAGCCTGTGCTTCGCAATGGGAGAGGCCACGACAGTGAGAGGCCCATGTACCACAAAAAAAAAAAAAAAAAAAGATTATACACCATGATCAAGTTGGACTTATCCCTGGGATGATGCAAGGATGGTTCGATATACTTAAATCAATGAACGTGATAAAACACATTAACAAATTTAAGAAAAAATCTGCATGATCATCTTAATAGATGGAGTAAAAGCACTTGAAAAAGTTCAGTATCCATTCATAATTAAAATGCTCAACAAAGTAGGTATATAAGAACTTACTTCAACACAAGACACACATGACAACAACTAACATCACAATCAATAGCAAAAAACTAAAAGCTTTTGTCCTAAGATCCAGCACAAGGTAAGGAAGCTGACTCTTCCCCTTTCTTTTCTTCATCGTACTGGAACTCGTAGCCATAGCATTATACAAGAAAAGGAAATAAAAAAGTCACCCAAGATGCTCAACATCACTAATTATTAGAGAAATGCAAATAAAAATTACAATGAGGTACTACCTCACACTGGTCAGAATGACCATCATTAAAAAGTCTACAAACAACAAATGGTGGAGAGGGTGTGGAGAAAAGGGAATCCTCCTACACTATTGGTGGGAATGTAAGTTGGTACAGCCACTATGGAAAACAGTATGGAGTTTCCTTAAAAAACTTAAAGGAAAGTTGCCATATGATCCAGCAATCCCATTCCTTGGCATATATCTGGACAAAACTAAAATTCAAAAAGATACATGCAACCCCTATGTTCATAGCAGCACTATTCATGATAGCCAAGACATGGAAACAACCTAAATGTCCATAGCCAGATGAATGGATAAAGAAGATGTGGTACATATATACAATGGAATATTACTCAGCCATAAAAAAGAATGAAATAATGCCATTTACAACAACATGGATGGACCTGGAGATTATCATACTAAGTGAAGTAAGCAAGAGAAAGACAAATACCATACGATATCATTTATTTGTGGAATCTAAAATGTGACACAAATGAACCCATCTGTGAAACAAAAATAGATTCACAGACATAGAGATCAGACTTATGGCCAAAGGGGAGGGAGTGTGGGGGAGGGATGGATTGGGAGTTTAGTGTTAGCAGATGCAAACTATTATATATAGAGTAGATAAACAAGGTCCTACTGTATAGCACAGGGAACTATATTAAATATCCTGTGATAAACCATAATGG